CCCTCGTGTATGTGCATACGTTAACAAACAATTTTTACGTCGAAGTGTTTATCCAGGTGATATATTCAGAAATTTGGTTCATTCTGGTTCCGAACTGCTGAGTTCAATACTATCGTCACTGTCGAGTCTAATTGAATAAGGTTTTAATCTATCTACTGCGCAAATGTTCTCATATCGTTTCTGTGATCGTTGTGTTCCTGGTATATCGGTTACAACATAACGATCCTGACCTAATACTTTGGTTATGATATACGGTCCACTATATTTAGGCATTAATTTCCTGCTTTTTCCGTCATTAGCGTTTAGTTGTGTTTTTAATAGAACTTGTTCACCAATTTTATATTGTCGCGGCTTAACTCTTTTTCTGTCATAATAAAGTTTCTGCAATTTTTGTTGTTCCCTGATAACCCTACCTACTTCTTTTCTTGTTTCATGACGATTTTCAGAGATCAGGTTACCTTCAGCGGCAAGATTACTTTCCGTGTTCGCGCGTAAAAATGAGTCATCTATACCACGAGGTCTAAATCCAAAGAATAGTTCAAAGGGACTTTTGTTTGTGCTTTTGTTAATGGTACAATTTATTCCCCATCGAATTTTATGAATGATTTCATCCCATCTATTTTCGTCGTTTACCATTGTTCGAAGACTGTTTAATATAAGTCTATTATATCTTTCAACCTGTCCGTTCGCTCGAGGTGTTGCCGCGGCTACATGTACAAGTTTGATGGCTAACTGTTTGCAGTATCTTTGAAATTCGTTGCTTGTATAACAAGTACCCCTATCACAAATGATTCTACGCGGAACACCAAAAGTGTCAACAATGCTCTCTACAAATTTTATCAAAGGTTTTGTTTTTGTGCTTTGCACGGCTTTGAGGAAAACAAATATTGTGAAACTGTCTACTGCAACAATTAAATACTGATTTTTCGCTTTACTAGGAACAAAAGGGCCTAAATGGTCCACATGTATAGTATCCATAGGTTCTAAAACTTTAGTGATGGGGTGTAAATACCCCGGCTGTTTCGAATAAACATCTTTGTTATATTGGCAAGGCAAACAACTACTTATATAATTCTTTATATATTTACGCATTTTGGGAAACCAGTAATTACGTTTTACAGCATCTAAAGTTTTGTCTAACGCGAAATGGCCTATGCTGTCGTGAAAATAACTTACTACTTGTCGTCGCCCAAACTTTGGTACCACCCAACAATTTCCTGATTCCGTCTTTTTGTAAACTTTATTTTGTTCTAAAAGATACTCTCTGTGGATTCGTCTTTCTTCTTCGTCTAAAGGGGTTCGACTAAGTACGTCTTTGAGATATTTTACTCTACTATCTTGGGATTGAGCCGATAAAATCCAGTCACCCTCTGTTATGTTTATAGTTAAAATTTCTAATTCTGGTTCAACTATGGCTTCCGGATTTGGAATTGAATTTCTACTAAGGGCGTCTACATGGGCCATTTTTGTTCCCTTACGGTATTCTATTGAAAAGTCGAATTCTGATATTATTATCCACCATCTGGCGATACGCGGAATTAAATCTCTTTTTACTAGTGTTGCACGAAGTGCATTACAATCCGTCACGACCTTAAATTTTAAGCCTAACAAATAAACTCTGAATTGTTTTAAAGTATTGACAACAGCTAATGTTTCCAGTTCGTATGAGGAATATCGCTGTTCTTCTTTTGTTGTTTGACGGCTGGTTTTTCTCTCAAGCTATTATTTACAAATACTTCACCTTCATACTGATCTGGGGTGGCCACTTTGACATAAGCAATGTGATTTGGCGGAACAGTTACTTCCTTTTCTGAACACAATTTCGCTTTTTTCATAGGTAGTTCCTCAACCTGTGGTAAAGGACAGTCTTCTGCTTGAAATACTCGGAATTGATTGTTTTTGACCATAAATATCTTTCCGTTCGTGTTTAAAAATGATTGACCAATCAGAATTGGGAATTCTTGAACATGGTTTTCAACAACAAACGCTTCCACATCATCTTCCGCTAAATCGACTACCAAGTGTACTTTACACTTCCCCAACACTTTAGTGGTGCTGTTATTATAACCTTTTAGATACAACTCACAAGGTATTAATTCCAAGTTCAGTTCTTTGGCTTCCTGCTGACGGATTATAACAACTGCACACCCGGTGTCAACAAACGCACGGAATTCTTTATCGTTAATCACGCACTTGGTGTAATAACATTCCGAGTCTGTGTTGTTGCCCATGCGTCTAATTTTCGTTGATGTCACTTTGCATGATTCTTTTGTATGACCTATTCGTTTGCAATTTGTACATTGTTGTTTGGGTTTTGGGCACTGTTTGTATGAATGGTCACTTTCACCGCAATTGAAACAACGATAATGACTTTTCGATGGCTCTCCTTGAGCACGTAGTCTTGGGTACGGGGTTTTTCTATACTTTGTGATCTGTCGGTCCCTTTCTATTCTGTAACGTAGGCGTGTCGGGGGTTCTGGTTCTTTTTCGGGTGCTAGGGTAGCTAGAAACTCGGCGTATAAGTTTTCCGGTGTAGGATACCTGCCTGCCTTAGCACCTGTCTGCGTTGAGTTATCCCTGATTCCGTCAATCACGCACGACACAGCGTCTTTTCCTTGGATGTTGCAAGCACTTATTAATTCCATTTTCTCAAAATAGTACTTTTCCCATGATTCATAGGGGTACTTTTGTCTGCTTAACATTTTTCGTAATGCCGAGGCGTAATCACGATGTTCAGGAAACGTTGATGTTATTAATGTTTTCCACTCATTCCAGGATAACTCATAGTTATTTAAGTTGTTGTACCATGACTTGGCAAGCCCAGTTAATTTGTTTTGCATTTGATAAATGGTGGTACTTTCGTCCCATCCATTTAATGACGATATTTGTTCAATTTTTTGGATCCATTTTATAGACGAGAGTCCAGCCTGCCCTGGTCGAAATTCAGGGATTATATTGAGTCCGCTGAAATTTTCTCTAGAACCTCTTGGTATAACTGCCGACCCTAGAATTCCTTGTAACATCTGTTCTAATTTGTTTATGCGTTCTTCTTGTGTTTCACTTTGATTTGATCTCAACTCAGGTGTTGTAGATCGTGGTAACACTGCACTTGAATGTGTATGTGGTTGTTCTTTCTGTCTTTCATTGTACAGACGATTTGTACGCTCGCGATGTACACTTTTGTCACTGGCTTTCGGCATTTTTTTTTTCTTAGTCTTTATTACAAAATAAAAAAACAAATTATTAATGTTTACGCAGGCAAATGAGCACTATCCCACCGCTGCAGTTGTAAAAGAGAGTCTTTTATTTTGACAATATTAATCTTTATTAATTACTTTATTTGATTGAATATAAAAGAAAAAAAACGTCTGCCTTTGTTCGGCGCTATTTACAGAATGCCCCCCTATCCTCTTTCTTTTTTTTTCATTCCATAAGTCTTGAGTGTGTCACGGTAAGTTTCCTTAGTGGGCCCCACAAAATCATTTCTTTGAAATATTTGTTTATAAACACCATCTCTGATATCAGCAGGCTGCTGAAGTAGCCGTTTTTGTTTATATTACACATATTTTTTCACTGTACTTATTCATTTTATATGCTTACTCTCCTTCCACGGAGCACCACAATTATTTTGTGGAAAACAATAAAATTTCACCGGTAAATTTATTTGTTGCTCTTTACGGGATTTTTCTGTACAACCTTTTATGCAACATGATTTTATTGATAAAGACATTGTGAATAATTAAAAAATTTATCTTGATAAAAACATAAATCAACAGAAAATCACATGCTACTAGGAAATAGTATTATTATTATTATTGCCCGAAAGGTTTACGTTTCAGTTACTAGTTGGCGTGGCGCTCCAGAAGCTCGGTCCCTATATCTAAGCAAGTAAACGCTTCAGAAGCACCAGTTATGTTTTCATCTTCATTATCTGAATTAGTCATGAGGTCTAAAATTTCGCTATTCTTCATAATTTGGTACCCGGGATCTTCATACATATCCATTCATTGTTGAACCTCTTCTTCTTCACATTCGTGGTAATCGAGCTTTTTAGCATATATATCATTTCAGACATGTCTTCCTGTTTCGCATTTACACATCCACCTTGAAGATTTTCCTCTATACACAAAAGTACGTAACGCGGAAGGTGTGAGAGGGTAAGCACACGCGGTTCGGGCTGGGTACTAGTTCGGATAAGCGGTCGTTCGGTTAATCGACGTTCGGATAATCGGCACTCCACTGTAGTAAGAATGGACGAGTTAATGTAAAATTGAAAAGTACTTTCTCACCTTTACATGCAGAAGGAAGCCATTTCTCATTTCGATTTTTGATGGTCTCCATTTATCACCAGAACGTTTATTTTTTTACAGTTAGGCAAGGAAACAAAAGCGGTAAAATAGAATAAAGCAAAAACTTGTTGCATCTGCAATAAAATTACATGAAATTAGAATAAAACATAAAACTAATGGTTTTGTACAATTTTGTATTGTAAACTGCGCAATAAGCTCCCCAAGATAATTATCTGTCTTTTTTTGAGCTAATTTGAACACTTTTGTCCCAATATATGGCAATTTGTTTATTAGGCAGCTTTTTTATGCGGAAAAAGTTGTTTGAAATCATCTTCCAACTGCAATGTAAACGAAATTATTAAGTATTTTTCCTAAAGAAGGTCTCTGCATATTAATTGTTATAATTCAACAAGGAACATTCTGTTAATTGTACAATTAAATCAGAAACTGTTTTTAAGACATAACTATTATTTTCAAAGCTAATAACATAAATACGTATGAAAGCCACGTAAATGGAAGAAACTTACCAATGTGAATTCTAAAGGTAGTTTCAAACAAGGAAATGCCTTAAAATACTCAAAGATAGAATAATTTTTTTGTAAAACAGTTCTACTTTGAAAAGTACTTTTCCAGCGTTCTTTTACCTCAGTAAAAGGTTCTATATTATTTTTTAGTTACTGAATGGCTTCTTCTTCANCGTGGCGCTCCAGAAGCTCGGTCCCTATATCTAAGCAAGTAAACGCTTCAGAAGCACCAGTTATGTTTTCATCTTCATTATCTGAATTAGTCATGAGGTCTAAAATTTCGCTATTCTTCATAATTTGGTACCCGGGATCTTCATACATATCCATTCATTGTTGAACCTCTTCTTCTTCACATTCGTGGTAATCGAGCTTTTTAGCATATATATCATTTCAGACATGTCTTCCTGTTTCGCATTTACACATCCACCTTGAAGATTTTCCTCTATACACAAAAGTACGTAACGCGGAAGGTGTGAGAGGGTAAGCACACGCGGTTCGGGCTGGGTACTAGTTCGGATAAGCGGTCGTTCGGTTAATCGACGTTCGGATAATCGGCACTCCACTGTAGTAAGAATGGACGAGTTAATGTAAAATTGAAAAGTACTTTCTCACCTTTACATACAGAAGAAACCCATTTCTCATTTCGATTTTTGATGGTCTCCATTTATCACCAGAACGTTTATTTTTTTACAGTTAGGCAAGGAAACAAAAGCGGTAAAATAGAATAAAGCAAAAACTTGTTGCATCTGCAATAAAATTACATGAAATTAGAATAAAACATAAAACTAATGGTTTTGTACAATTTTGTATTGTAAACTGCGCAATAAGCTCCCCAAGATAATTATCTGTCTTTTTTTGAGCTAATTTGAACACTTTTGTCCCAATATATGGCAATTTGTTTATTAGGCAGCTTTTTTATGCGGAAAAAGTTGTTTGAAATCATCTTCCAACTGCAATGTAAACGAAATTATTAAGTATTTTTCCTAAAGAAGGTCTCTGCATATCAATTGTTATAATTCAACAAGGAACATTCTGTTAATTGTACAATTAAATCAGAAACTGTTTTTAAGACATAACTATTATTTTCAAAGCTAATAACATAAATACGTATGAAAGCCACGTAAATGGAAGAAACTTACCAATGTGAATTCTAAAGGTAGTTTCAAACAAGGAAATGCCTTAAAATACTCAAAGATAGAATAATTTTTTTGTAAAACAGTTCTACTTTGAAAAGTACTTTTCCAGCGTTCTTTTACCTCAGTAAAAGGTTCTATATTATTTTTTAGTTACTGAATGGCTTCTTCTTCAGGCGTATTTTGTTCTGTAAGTGACGAAATTGTAAAAACATCATTATTTTGTAGATCATTTACAACTACATACATACTTTTAAAATTAATACAATTGTGTTGTTGTAGTACAAAATAAAATAAACAGTCTTACTTATATTCTTGTTTGAAGATGGTATGAGACCATACTTTTTATAATTTCTACGTAAATAGCAGTAGGCAAAAAATAGTTTACCCCTAGCAACTTTGGATTTCCCTTTATTATTAACATATGGAACATAATATTTTTCGGGGCTTTCATGGGGGAATATATCGTTTATTTCGTTGGCTAGTTGCATTAATCTTGTAGAAGAGATTCTACAATACAAGTGCAACGTATATATATGATAAAAGTAGTTTCCAAACTTAAATTCACTTTTTATAAATAATTCAGCCAATTTATTTCTCAACAAATCTTTATCTGCGCCGTAACTAGCTTTAATGATTTTTCCTTCATAAGTCGTTTCAACTAGACGTGAAACCGTGTGGAAAATAATGAGGTACCGACATGTAAACTCCATGTGAGAAAATTTAATTTATCGAGGTATCATTACTGCTTGAAAATACAATGTAAGGAGCATTTAGAACGGCTTTGGTGTTAAAAACTGTAGTACCTAGGTGTTAAATTGTCGGTAATTTCTTCACAGGGAGACCCGTCACCACCGGTGTGACGGTACATGTCGATGAGGAAGAACGAGAAATATTAAAATGTAAAAGGGGTGGGGGGGTGTAAATACGGAGGGGGTGTACATACTTCTGACAATAGGGTAATCATAAATATTCTCTATTTCGTTTGTTACAATTTCACTGTTTGAATTTAAATGTGACCTTATCTCAATTGACTCTAAAATTGTTAGATTTGTACTTTTGTCTTTTATATGTAATTTTTTCCTATTGTCGAACTTGTGTCCAGTTTGTTCTATATGGTTCATAAAACTAGACTTATGATTATAATTTTTACAGTGTTCATTGATTCGATCCTTAAACGTTCTCTCAGTTTGGCCTATGTAGATAGAATTACATTTATTGTAAGTTAATTTATATACCCCACTTTTTAGGAATAAATCTGTTTTGTCTTTTCTATTGTTAATAAATTTAAATAAATGGTTTACAGTTCTGAAAACTATCATGACATTTTCTGTTTTTATTTCTTTAGATACCTTAATGGCCTAAATATGTTAAAGTATTAAATTTACAAATTTTAGATGTGACATAAGGGTATACACAGTCTAAACTTAATTTCTTTTGTTTTTTAAAAATGAATCTATCTATAAGATTTGTCTCATAACCGTTACTAAACGCTATTTGTTTTATAATGGCTAATTGTATATTGAAGTTGTTTTTGTTTAAAGGTANAAGTAATAAAAGTTATTGATAGCGATAGAATTGAATACAAAACAATTTGAATACACTGTTCCAAATATTTTCACAGAGAATAATAATAATAGAAAGACAGATACAAAAGAATTCGAGTAGAAATATTTACAAAAGGGTGTAATATAATGTTTAGTCAAATATATGTTTTAAATTAAATATAGCGGTGTTATTATCCGCCACACTATATAATTTCTTCTGTTAACTGCACAATTCAGAGAGAAAAACGATCCTGAAAACAATTTTTGCCGTGTGAACACACGGCACGTGTGAATACTTCTATACACTTGTTTGTGTCACTGTTGTCGTGCACGGCCACGGCGCCGTGCCGTTGCAGTCCCCATGCCGTGCTGCGACGGCAGCCGTGCACGGCTACGGCAGCAAATCGTGCTGTGTGAAAGCTTACATATAAACCAATGTATTACTGTTATACACGGCACGGTCGCCGTGCACGGCCACGGCAAGAAACCGTCTGTGTGAAAGCAGACTAAGGTGGAATAGACTTATTCAGTGGTGACTTTATTTTCGATTGGAGTATTTTGTGTGAAGTACTTTTCTTTTTAAATCTATAAACCTAGAGTTTTTTAAAAAAGGTATCATTTACAAATCAATTTACAATTCGAACGAAAAATAAATTATTCAATAAATAATATAAACTTGATAAATAGAATATGAAAAGTGTGAAATTATAAGACGGACGTGTAAATGTCACTCAGTTTTTCTGTGTCTTTATGAACATTTAAGGTGTTTTTGTTCCTTTTATATGTAACATTTCTGAAACATCTCTTTTGTATCATTGTCTTTCTACATCTAAAATCTTTGGATCGTTCCATTTCATATCGTGATTTTTTTGTATTCTATGTAATGAAATAACGTTGTGTTTATCAGAATAGTTTATGTTCTGTCTGTGTTGTTTAACTCGTATTTCTAATGCATTTTTTGTTTGGCCAATATAATTAGCGTCACAATCATTGCATTCTAGGTATTTGATAAATGACATGATGTTGTCCAGTGATCGATAAACTATCCTTTCCCTTTTTAACTATTGAATCTAACTTGTTGTCAATTTTGCAAACAGTTTTTATATTGAAATCCTGGGAATATTGTCTTAAATCTTTTGTCAGAAGTGAGTGAAAAGCTAATACTACGAAGTTAGGTTATGTGTTTTCTTGGTTGTTGTTATTGTTATTTTTATATTTATAAAATTTAAATCGGTTCTTTATGCAACTATTGATGAACTCTAATGGATATAAATTTTGTGAAAAGTATAGTTTTTACTATTTTTACATTTTCGACATGAAACTCTCTGTCAGATAATAGTATTGCTTTGTTCAATAAGCCATAAACGATCGCTTTTTTCTGTTCAACTGAATGATTCGAATGAAAGTGTAAAAGTCTATCCGTGTGTGTTGGTTTTCTATACCAATTGGTCAGTACTTTGTTACCTTCTATTTTGATCTGTGTATCAAGAAAGTTGAGGGAATGGTCAACCTCCATCTCGTGAGTAAACTGCAGTTTCGGGTGGCAACTGTTGAAAACCAATAATCCCATCTACTTTGCCCCGAAACGCCCATATGGAAGGTGTAATAAGAAGTAATTTTTCCTCAATTACGCAAATTCCTTATTACATTTCGACATGAATAATATTTGACAATAAGGGCATGTTATATGAACATGTTCAGAGTTATTTTGTTATCAGTAAGACTCAACGTGCGAGATTCTGACTAATCACTGAACTTTCTTAATGGCGTCGCATTCTTTCTTTTATTTATTTGCGCGTGAATAAGACAGCACACGAAAATGTGTACTGTTTTTATCTTTATAACAACTTATCATTTTTATTGTCATTCTAGTAACATGAAACATTTTATAGGTAGTTTATATTCGTAAAACTCATTAGATACCTTCCCAGTCATCAGCTAAATCATCAAAACCCCACTAAGGCAACTTTCCTCTCCATTATGAGCAGTAAGCTGTGAAAAAAAAAACAATACATTTCAGTTGAACGTGAAAGACGGATATGTTTCTATTTTCGTATAAAATTTTTGAAAAATAGAATGCTGAATCAATACAATAATTAGAAGATTTTGTAAACAATCGTATTGCGTTGATCTGAATCATCGCAAGAGACGCAATTTAATGATAAATCTTTGCTGTAATTTTTCCTTTGTCAAATGTCTCGCCTCACGATGTGCAGTTCAATTATAAATTTTTACCATAAAACTTGCAGGTCCCGATGATCCATCCAAATTTGGCCATTTGTCTCGGTTGTTTAAATTGTCCCACACATAAAATATTCCAAAAAAAGTTCTACTTCGATTAAAAGATCTATTGGTGCTGAAGTGTTAAAATGTGGATCTGCTAATTTAATAGAATCAGGTATGTTGAATGATGTTTGTGGTATAAAGTGCTGCTGTAGATTTTCGGTAATTTTGGGTAAAATTAAACAAGACACTGTAGCATTGACTGAATTAAATGTAGAATTTATGTTTATGTTAACAGCTTTGTTTGAAAAAGACATTGACTGGCTAATTCCGCAAATAGAAACGTGAACATTTTTTGTATTAAGTCCTAATTTCTTACAAAATGATTCTGCTGTAAAATTAGATTGTTACCTTACATTGACTAAAGCTCTAACGTGCGTGAGGTTTTCCTTTTTTGTCACAAATATTGACTACAAGTGTTGATAAAAATACAGCTGTGCTTGATTTCAATGGTTGCATACTATTTAACGATTCTGTATCATTTTCGACTACCTCCTCGCTTGTATTTGCATTTAATTTAAATGTAATAAAGTAAGTTTAAGATTGTCCTTTGTGGGAGGATAAATATTGTAGCGAGCACGAGTGTGTTTATGTGCGAACTGGCACGCATGTGCTTGAACGGCTTATCGATTCGCCGAATAGCCGCGGGCGCCTTTCTTCATGTGCGCCGTATTTGTAAATGTGTGTCTCGTACCTGCGTTCTGGGAAAGCAGTTAAACAATTCAAATAAAAAACAAACTATATGGATGTTTCTAGAAGGCTCCCGAAAGTAAACAAGAGAGTATTTAAAGGAAGAGACAATCGCCGAAAGAAATAAGAAATAAATTGACCATTGCAGAAGTGTAAATAAATAGAATAATTCATAACCTAAGTTTAGTAATAATTTAATAGTGTTTTTAAGTTCTTTAATAATTACTGTAAATAAATAGTGTTTGTCGTTATCAGTCTTAGAAGTTAATTTTGTTAAACCCACAAACATTACAATATGTTTCTTATTAATTGATTAATTTGCTTGTGGTTTATTACATTCAATGATAAAAGATGTGATCTTTGATTGATAAATGTTTCTATCTCTTCCGTGGTTGGAAGTTGTTTGGTTGCCCTAC